CTCATAGACACCCACAGAGACCCATACTCATAGAGACCCCATACAGACCCACAGAGACCCATACTCATAGAGACCCATACAGACCCACAGAGACCCATACTCATAGAGACCCATACAGACTCATAGACACCCACAGAGACCCATACTCATAGAGACCCCATACAGACCCACAGAGACCCATACTCATAGAGACCCATACAGACCCACAGAGACCCATACTCATAGAGACCCATACAGACTCATAGACACCCACAGAGACCCATACTCATAGAGACCCATACAGACCCACAGAGACCCATACTCATAGAGACCCATACAGACCCACAGAGACTCATACTCATAGAGACCCATACAGACTCATAGACACCCACAGAGACCCATACTCATAGAGACCCATACAGACCCACAGAGACCCATACTCATAGAGACCCATACAGACCCACAGAGACCCATACTCATAGAGACCCATACAGACTCATAGACACCCACAGAGACCCATACTCATAGAGACCCATACAGACCCACAGAGACCCATACTCATAGAGACCCATACAGACCCACAGAGACCCATACTCATAGAGACCCATACAGACTCATAGACACCCACAGAGACCCATACTCATTGAGACCCATACAGACCCACAGAGACCCATACTCAGAGACCCATACAGACTCATAGACACCCACAGAGACCCATACTCATTGAGACCCATACAGACCCACAGAGACCCATACTCAGAGACCCATACAGACTCATAGACACCCACAGAGACCCATACTCATTGATACCCATACAGACCCACAGAGACCCATACTCAGAGACCCATACAGACTCATAGACACCCACAGAGACCCATACTCATTGAGACCCATACAGACCCACAGAGACCCATACTCAGAGACCCATACAGACTCATAGACACCCACAGAGACCCATACTCATTGAGACCCATACAGACCCACAGAGACCCATACTCAGAGACCCATACAGACTCATAGACACCCACAGAGACCCATACTCATTGAGACCCATACAGACCCACAGAGACCCATACTCAGAGACCCATACAGACTCATAGACACCCACAGAGACCCATACTCATTGAGACCCATACAGACCCACAGAGACCCATACTCAGAGACCCATACAGACTCATAGACACCCACAGAGACCCATACTCATTGAGACCCATACAGACCCACAGAGACCCGGAGGGCACTGAGACACAGACTCCAAATATACAGCTGCAAGCATCGTCAGGGTCGGGATCGAATGCGGTTCCTCCTGTGTACCAGGCGAGGTAGTTAACATCTCGCCAACGCAGCACCCCTAAAGAATAAGGGACAGATTATGTTAGGCTCACACACCACGGCGCTTGTGCCAGGCTATGTGCACCTTAAGGCCACTTGAAGTGTAGAACGCCCGCTGGCTGGAGGTCACGGGACAGATCCAGCAGGTGTCATGGGTCCACTGACTGAGATGACTGCACAATGCACCACCGGTGCCCCCTGCTGTGCAAACTTGATGTGCTTTAGCCGCCCGGCGCTGCGCTCGTTGTTGTGAGTGTCGCTCTTCTGCCCTTCGTTGTTGCTGGAGGGCGACTGCCTCCAACTGCCCAGTAGCGTCCTTCACGAGCCTCCTCCACAGAGGCCGATCTTGACACCGCTGGTACCGGTCATCGGCAAGTCCACTCAGCTCCACGTCCTCCTGTACCACATCACTCCATCTCTTCTCCAGCCCGTGCCGCGCCCGTCTAGCCCCCTCGATCCGGCCGAACAAAAGCTGTTGAGGCATGCGGTGGCTGGGCATGCGGGCTACATGACCCAGCCAACGCAGCCTTGCCTGCCCGGAGGTGCTCACCGATGGGACTTTATCCAGATCTTTCAAGGATTTGTGAGCTCCTCACACAATCCAACCTGGTTAAAACCCAGGATGGATCGTAGGCAGGCCAGCCTAAATGTTTCCAACCGGCGAAGATGCTCCATTAGGGGGGTCCACATTTCGCAAGCATAGAGAAGGGAGGGAATGACTGTGGCCGAGAAGACCTGAAGCTTCGTGCGGAGCGACAGACCAGGTAGTTTCCACACAGCGTTACGCAACCGATGAAAAGATATTGCCGCTCGACTGATTCGGAGTGAGACCTCTGCTGTTAAACTGGAGCCGGTCATAAGCACACTGCCCAGGTATGGGAAACTCTCCACTCTCTCCACTACTGCCCCATCACCGATTGGGAGTTGTGGGGGTGGAGTGTCCGATGGTACAAATAACCCAGGCAGGTGCTTCGTTTTGGTGGGGCTGATGGTAAGGCCCCACCTCTTAGTGGCACGCTCCAGTCTCAGCAGCAGCGTCTCCAACTCCTCCTCTGAATGAGCAGCTATTACCAAATCATCGGCATACATAACGTGGTTGATCAATAGGGAGCCAACCCTTGATCGCACCCGGGCATCTATCAGCTTCCCATTATATCTGTACCCAATGGAGATTGCCCCACTACACACGCAGACTCACACACACAGACTCACACACACACACAGACTCACACACACAGACTCACACACACAGACTCACACACTCACACACACAGACTCAGACACACAGACTCAGACACACAGACTCACACACACACAGACTCACAGACTCACACACACGCAGACTCACACACGCAGACTCACATACGCAGACTCACACACACAGTCTCACACACAGACTCACACACAGACTCACACACACAGACTCACACACACAAACTCACACACACAGACTCACACACACAGAATCACATACACAGACTCACACACACAGTGCCAGTAAACAGCGGTGGCTCTGTGCCTTCTCAGCACTTTCGTGGGCAGACATCAATGCGGCCCTCCATGGCCAAAGCGATTAGATGAACAATCATTGACCACACACAGAGAGACATGCCCGTGCCACGCACGGAGAGTGGCTGGGTTAGCGGGTGGGTGGATGAGTGGGTGAGTGAGTGGGTGGATGAGTGAGTAGGTGGGTGAGTGGGTGGGTGAGTGGGTGGGTGAGTGGGTGGATGAGTGAGTGGGTGGGTGAGTGGGTGGGTGAGTGGGTGGGTGAGTGGGTGGATGAGTGAGTGAGTGGGTGGGTGGGTGAGTGGGTGGGTGAGTGGGTGGATGAGTGAGTGAGTGGGTGGGTGGGTGAGTGAGTGGGTGGGTGAGTGGGTGGATGAGTGGGTGGATGAGTGAGTAGGTGGGTGAGTGGGTGGATGAGTGAGTAGGTGAGTGAGTGGGTGGATAAGTGAGTGGGTGGGTGAGTGGGTGGGTGAGGGGGTGAGTGGGTGGGTGGGTGGGTGAGGGGGTGAGTGGGTGGGTGAGTGGGTGAGTGAGTGGGTGGGTGAGTGGGTGGGTGGATGAGTGGGTGAGTGAGTGGCACGGGTTCGAGAAGAGATGAGGTGATGAGTGAGTGACTGTGCGAGTGACTTGGTGGGTAAGTGGCACGGGCTAGATATGGGCTGATGGGTGAATGAGTGTGTGGGTGAGTGGGTGAGTGGGTGAGTGGGTGGATTAGTGAGTGGGTGGGTGACTGGGTGACTTGGTGGATGAGTGGGTGGGTGCGTGGGTGATTGAGTGGCACGGATTAGAGAAGCGATGGGCTGATGGGTGGGTGTTTGAGTGGGCAAGTGAATGGGTGGGTGAGTGGGTGGGTGAGTGGGTGGGTGAATGAGTGGGTGGGTGAGTGGGTGGATGGGTGAGTGGGTGGGTGGGTGAGTGGGTGGGTGGAAGAGTGAGTGGGTGGGTGTTTGGGTGGGTGGGTGGGTGAGTGGGTGGGTGTTTAAGTGGGCGAGTAAATGGGTGGGTGAGTGGGTGAGTGGGTGGGTGAGTGGGTGGATGGGTGAGTGGGTGGGTGGATGAGTGGGTGGGTGGGTGAGTGGGTGGGTGTTTGAGTGGGTGAGTGAGTGGGTGGGCGAGTGGGTGGGCGAGTGGGTGGGTGAGTGAGTGGGCGAGTGAATGGGTGAGTGCATGGGTGGGTGAGTGAGTGGGTGGGTGAGTGGGTGATTTGGTGAGTGGGCGAGAGGGTGAATGTGCAAGTGGCTGAGTGTGTGAGTGGGTGGGTGGGTGAGTGGGTGGGTGTGTGTGCGAGTGGCTGAGTGGCTGAGTGTATGAGTGGGTGAGTGAGTGGGCGAGTGAGTGGGTGAGTGAGTGAGTGGGCGGGTGGTTGGGTGAGTGGGTTGGTGAGTGGATGGGTGGGTGAGTGAGTGGGTGAGTGAGTGAGTGGGTGGGTGAGTGGGTGGGTGCGTGGGTGAGTTGGGTGGGTGGGTGGGTGAGTGGGTGAGTGAGTGAGTGGGTGAGCGAGTGAGCGGATGGGTGGTTGGGTGAGTGGGTTGGTGGGTTGGTGAGTGGATGGGTGGGTGGGTGAGTGAGTGAGTGAGTGGGTGGGTGGGTGGGTGAGTGGGTGGGAGGTGAGTGGGTGGGTGGGTTAGTGAGTGGGTGGGTGAGTGGGTGGGTGGGTGGGTGAGTGAGTGAGTGGGTGGGTGAGTGGGTGGGTAGGTGAGTGGATGGGTGGGTGATTGGGTGGGTGAGTGAGTGAGGGGGTGGGTGAGTGGGTGGGTAGGTGAGTGGATGGGTGGGTGATTGGGTGGGTGAGTGAGTGAGGGGGTGGGTTAGTGAGTGAGTGGGTTAGTGAGTGGGTGAGTGAGTGGGTGAGTGGGTGAGTGAGTGAGCGAGTGGGCGGGCGAATGAGTGGGTGAGTGGGCGAGTGAGTGGGTGAGTGGGCGAGTGAGTGGGTGAGTGGGCGAGTGAGTGGGTGAGTGGGCGGGCGAGTGGGTGGGTGAGCGAGTGAGTGGGTGGGCGAGCGAGTGAGTGGGTGGGCGAGCGAGTGAGCGAGCGGGCGGGCGAGTGAGCGAGTGGGAGGGTGTGTGGGCGAGTATGCCATTGTTTGTTTGAGTGGGCAGTGTCTGGGGGCATCAGGAGCAGGAGGAGAGGGGGGGGATGACCTCGCCCCTCAGTTAAATCCCCGTGTCCTGCACTGCCCACACCGTTATCCACTGGACCTTGGGACTGACCACCACCATCATCATCGCGCCATGCATCTCGCTCTGTACGTCCTGGGCGCCTGCCTCTCTCTCCTGCCGTGGGGAGGTCACGCTGCCGAAGGTGATGCACCATACACGCACACACACAGACACAGACAAAGATCCCCCGTATAGCCTTAACAGACTGTAGGGGCAAGTGCTGTTAGCGAGCACCTATGAAGGCCGGAACGGCACACGAGGGGGTGGGTGGCCAGCACCACGCCCGACCGCCTTTGTCTCCACCGTGGCGATGTTTACACACCGCACCAGGTACTCATTTGAGGCTGAGTCGACCTAGGGGAGGCCCAGGACCTGTTCAGATAATCGTCACTGGTGTTAGCCGTGAGCGGGAATCGAACCCGGGTCGCCAGGTTCATAGCGCATTACCGCTCCCACACACAGACACACAGACATACACGGACACACGCAGACACACACAACAACAACAACCGCCATTCGCCACTAAGTGGCGGTGACGTCACCACGGCGCTTGTGCCAGGCTAGGTGCACGTTGAGGCCACGTGAAGTGTCGAACGCCCGCTGGCAGGAGGTCACGGGGCAGACCCAGCAGGTGCCACGGGTCGACTGACTGAGAGGACTGAGATGACTGGCTGATTCACTACCTGTGCCCCCTACTGTGCCCCCTACTGTGCCAACTTGCTGTGCTTTATTCACCCGGCGCTCCGCTCGTTGTTGTGAGCGTCTGCCTCCAACTGCCCAGTAGCGTCCTTCACGAGCCTCCTCCACAGAGGCCGATCTTGACACCGCTGGTACCAGTCATCGGCAAGTCCACTCAGCTCCACGTCCTCCTGTACCACATCACTCCATCTCTTCTCCAGCCCGTGCCGCGCCCGTCTAGCCCCCTCGATCCGGCCGAACAAAAGCTGTTTAGGCATGCGGTGGCTGGGCATGCGGGCTACATGACCCAGCCAACGCAGCCTTGCCTGCCGGAGGTGCTCACCGATGAGACTTTGTCCAGATCTTTCGAGGATGTGTGAGTTCCTCACACAATCCAGCCTGCAGGTTAAACCCAGGATTGATCGTAGGCAGGCCAGCCTAAATGTTTCTAACCGGTGAAGATGTTCCATTAGGGGGGTCCACGTTTCGCAAGCGTAGAGAAGGGAGGGAATGACCGTGGCCGAGAAGACCCGAGCGACAAACCAGGTAGCTTCCACACAGCGTTACGCAACCGATGAAAAGATATTGCCGCTCGACTGATTCGGATTGAGACCTCTGCTGTTAAACCGGAGCCGGTCATGAGCACACTGCCCAGGTATGGGAAACTCTCCACTCTCTCCACTACTGCCCCATCACCGATTGGGAGTTGTGGGGGTGGAGTGTCCGATGGTACAAAATACCCAGGCAGGTGCTTAGTTTTGGTGGGGCTGATGGTAAGGCCCCACCTCTTAGTGGCACGCTCCAGTTTCAGCAGCAGCATCTCCAACTCCTCCTCTGAGTGAGCTGCAATTACCAAATCATCGGCATACATAACGTGGTTGACCAATAGGGAGCCATCCCTTGACCGCACCCGGGCATCGATCAGCCTCCCATTGTATCTGTATCAGATGGAAATTCCTCCGGTACAGCTATTGAAGGCTTCACGAACTACGTGGTCAAAATAGATGTGAAATAATATGGGAGCCAGAGGACATCCCTGTCGCACCCCAAGGTGTACAGGGAAAGGCTCCGACTCCCGGCCACGTAGTTTTACCCAGGCCCGCTCACCATCATGAAGGTCCTTAATGATCGTGAGCAGAGGGTCAGGGACTCCGAAAGCACGAAGAACAACCCTGAGCCCAGGCCTGCACACACAGACAAAGATCCCCCGTATAGCCTTAACAGACTGTAGGGGCAAGTGCTGTTAGCGAGCACCTATCAAGGCCGGAACGGTACACGAACGAGGGGGTGGGTGGCCAGCACCACGCCCGGCCGCCTTTGTCTCCCTAGTGGTGATGTTTACGCACCGCACCAGGTACTCATTTGAGGCTGAGTCGACCTAGGGGAGGCCCGGGACCGGTTCAGATAATCGTCACTAGTGTTGGCCGTGAGCGGGAATCGAACTCGGGTCGCCGGGTTCATAGTGCAGCGCGCTAACCACTACACCACCGCTCCCCACACACACACACGCACACACACACAGACACACACACACACAGACACACACACACAGACACACACACACAGACACACACACACACACAGACACACACACACACAGACACACACACACAGACACACACACACACAGACACACACACACAGACACACACAGGTACACACAACAACAACCGCCATTTGTTACTAAGTGGCGGTGACGTCACCATGACGCTTGTGCCAGGCCATGTGCACCTTGAGGCCACGTGATGTGTTGAACGCCCGCTGGCAGGAGGTCACGGGGCAGACTCAGCAGGTGCCACGGGTCGACTGACCGAGATGACCGAGATGACTGGCTGATGCACCAATTGTGCCCCCTACTGTGCCAACTTGCTGTGCTTTAGCCACCCGGTGCTCCGCTCGTTGTTGTGAGCGTCGCTCCTCCGCCCTCCGTTGTTGTTGGAGGGCGACTGCCTCCAACTGCCCAGTAGCGTCCTTCACGAGCCTCCTCCACCTGCACAGAGGCGTCCCCCCCCCTCACCCCCCCCCTCACCCCCCCCTCACCCCCCCCTCACCCCCCCTCACCCCCCCTCACCCCCCCCTCACCCCCCCCCTCACCTGCCCTCACCTCTTCTTGGTTCTTTCGGTCAAGTCACGTAGAAGTGAAGTAATAAAATAATACAAATAAGACATAATAAAATAATTATGTTTTATTTGTATTATTTTATTACTTCCCTTCTACGTGACGACTTTACCGAAAGAACCAAACTAATAAAAATAAAACATAATAAAATAATTATGTTTTATTTTTTTATTATTTTATTACTTCCCTTCTACGTGACGACTTTACCGAAAGAACTAAGAAGATGAATCCCTGCTGCTGCAGTCACGAAAGAAGCTTTACATAGAAATCTGCCCTCACCTGTACAGAGGCGTGCCGAGTGAAAGAGAGCCAGCTGAAGCTTCTACACCTGGAGCTCTCCCCTCACCCCCCTCACCCCCCCTCACCCCCCTCACCTGCCCTCACTCCACCCTCCTCACCTATCCTCACCTGCCCTCACCTGTACAGAGGCGTGCCGAGTGAAAGAGAGCCAGCTGAAGCCTCTACACCTGGAGCTCTCCCCTCACCCCCCCTCACCCCCCCTCACCCCCCTCACCTGCCCTCACCTGCCCTTACCTATCCTCACCTGCCCTCTCACCTGCACAGAGGCGTGCCGAGTGAAAGAGAGCCAGCTGAAGCTTCTACACCTGGAGCTCTCCCCTCACCCCCCCTCACCCCCCTCACCTGCCCTCACCCCACCCTCCTCACCCCCCCTCACCCCCTCTCACCTGCACAGAGGCGTGCCGAGTGAAAGAGAGCCAGCTGAAGCCTCTACACCTGGAGCTCTCCCCTCACCCCCCCTCACCCCCCTCACCCCCCTCACCTGCCCTCACCCCACCCTCCTCACCCCCCCTCACCCCCTCTCACCTGCACAGAGGCGTGCCGAGTGAAAGAGAGCCAGCTGAAGCTTCTACACCTGGAGCTCTCTCCTCACCCCCCCTCACCCCCCCTCACCCCCCTCACCTGCCCTCACCCCACCCTCCCCACCCCCCCTCACCCCCTCACCTGCCCTCACCTGCCCTTACCTATCCTCACCTGCCCTCACCTGCACAGAGGCGTGCCGAGTGAAAGAGAGCCAGCTGAAGCCTCTGCACCTGGAGCTCTCCCCTCACCCCCCCTCACCCCCCCTCACCCCCCTCACCTGCCCTCACCCCACCCTCCTCACCCCCCCTCACCCCCTCTCACCTGCACAGAGGCGTGCCGAGTGAAAGAGAGCCAGCTGAAGCCTCTACACCTGGAGCTCTCCCCTCACCCCCCCCTCACCCCCCCTCACCCCCCCTCACCCCCCTCACCTGCCCTCACCTGCCCTTACCTATCCTCACCTGCCCTCTCACCTGCACAGAGGCGTGCCGAGTGAAAGAGAGCCAGCTGAAGCCTCTACACCTGGAGCTCTCCCCTCACCCCCCCTCACCCCCCCTCACCCCCCTCACCTGCCCTCACTCCACCCTCCTCACCTATCCTCACCTGCCCTCACCTGCACAGAGGCGTGCCGAGTGAAAGATAGCCAGCTGAAGCTTCTACACCTGGAGCTCTCCCCTCACCCCCCCTCACCCCCTCACCTGCCCTCACCTGCCCTTACCTATCCTCACCTGCCCTCACCTGCACAGAGGTGTGCCGAGTGAAAGAGAGCCAGCTGAAGCCTCTACACCTGGAGCTCGCCCCTCACCCCCCCTCACCCCCCCTCACCCCCCTCACCTGCCCTCACTCCACCCTCCTCACCTATCCTCACCCCCTCTCACCTGCACAGAGGCGTGCCGAGTGAAAGAGAGCCAGCTGAAGCCTCTACACCTGGAGTTGGAGGCTGAGTTCAAGTCCCGTTACCGCACGGGGTCTCGATTCGTGAGCTTCTTCAGCGACACGGAGTACGCGGTGCCCGCTCGCTCGGCCGTGCGCTTCGCCTGCCTCAAGAAGTTCGTGCCCGCGGGGCCACTGGACGGCAGCTGCCTGGGGGGCAAGCTGAACATGCCCGTGTGTGAGCCAGGTTAGTTGGGGGTGGTGGGGTGAGTGCTGACACAGAGATACAGAGACACACACACAGACACACACAGAGATACACACAGACACACACACAGACACACACACAGACACACACAGAGATACACACACAGATACAGACACAGAGATACACACAGACACACACACAGACACACACACAGACACACAGAGATACACACAGAAACATACAGACAGACACACACACAGACACACACACAGACACACACACAGACACACACAGAGATACACACACAGATATAGACACAGAGATACACACAGACACACACACAGACACACACACAGACACACAGAGATACACACAGAAACACACAGACAGACACACACACAGACACACAGACACACACACAGACACACTCACAGTGAGTGAGTGTGTGGGTGGTTGAGTGAGTGAGTGGTTGAGTGAGTGAGTGTGTGGGTGAGTGTGTGGTTGAGTGAGTGAGTGAGTGGTTGAGTGAGTGAGTGTTTGAGTGAATGAGTGGTTATGTGGTTGAGTGAGTGGTTGAGTGAGTGGTTGTGTGAGTGGTTGAGTGAGTGGTTGAGTGAGTGGTTGAGTGACTGAGTGAGTGACTGAGTGAGTGGTTGAGTGAGTGGTTGAGTGAGTGAGTGGTTGAGTGAGTGAGTGGCTGAGTGAGTGAGTGTGTGGGTGAGTGAGTGAGTGGTTGAGTGAGTGTGTGAGTGAGTGAGTGGTTGAGTGAGTGGTTGAGTGAGTGAGTGGTTGAGTGAGTCGTTGAGTGTCCCACAGAGCCGTGCCGCAGGCTGGTGGTGACCCACGGCGAGATCGCCATGACGGGTGACTCGGTGCGTCACAACTTCAGTAGCAGCCTCACTTGCGCCGTCGGCTACGAGGGCTACAACCGCGTCACGTGAGTTTGACCCCCCCCCCCCCCCCAAACTCATGATGCCTCGTATAAAGGTGTCAGTTTTTGTACCAGTTGAAAGGGTGAAAACCTATCACTATATTTTGACACTGGTAAAGGAGGTCTCATAGTGTAAATGCTTATCCCGAGCTCTCAATACTCTGATAGTGCGCTGTCTTTGAGTTGTACGCCTTTTGGCGTCATCTGGTCCAACACCAATGGAAACTAGGCTCTAAGGAAAGCTGTCTCGGGTGTGGACCAATCAACTTCAAGGACAGTGCATATCATTATCATCATCAGAGTTGTTTCTTTTTGTTTGCATCTTGACTGCTTGTGTTGTGGTTATTGCAAACATGATGCCTTGTACAAAGGTGTCAGTTTTTGTACCAGTTGAAAGGGTAAAAACCTACTACTATGAGAGCCTCTTCTCACTATCCAGTGTCTCACCACCCAGTGTCTCACCACCCAGGGTCTCACCACCCAGTGTCTCACCACCTAGTGTCTCACTACCCAGTGTCTCACTACCCAGTGTCTCACTACCCAGTGTCTCACCACCCAGTGTCTCACCACCCAGTGTCTCACCACCCAGTGTCTCACCACCCAGTGTCTCACCACCCAGTGTCTCACTACCCAGTGTCTCTCTACCCAGTATCTCACTATCCAGTGTCTCACCACCCAGTGTCTCACCACCCAGTGTCTCACCACCCAGTGTCTCTCTACCCAGTGTCTCACTACCCAGTGTCTCACTATCCAGTGTCTCACCACCCAGTGTCTCACCATCCAGTGTCTCACCACCCAGTGTCTCACTACCCAGTGTCTCTCTACCCAGTGTCTCACTACCCAGTCTCTCACTACCCAGTGTCTCACCACCCAGTGTCTCACCACCCAGTGTCTCACCACCCAGTGTCTCACTACCCAGTGTCTCACCACCCAGTGTCTCACCACCCAGTGTCTCTCTACCCAGTGTCTCACCACCCAGTGTCTCACTACCCAGTGTCTCACTACCCAGTGTCTCACTACTCAGTGTCTCACCACCCAGTGGTTCACCACCCAGTGTCTCACCACCCAGTGTCTCACTACCCAGTGTCTCACCACCCAGTGTCTCACTACCCAGTGTCTCACTACCCAGTGTCTCACCACCCAGTGTCTCACCACCCAGTGTCTCACTACCCAGTGTCTCACCACCCAGTGTCTCACTACCCAGTGTCTCACTACCCAGTGTCACACTATCCAGTGTCTCTCTACCCAGTGTCTCACCACCCAGTGTCTCACTACCCAGTGTCTCACTACCCAGTGTCTCACCACCCAGTGTCTCACTACCCAGTGTCTCACCACCCAGTGTCTCACCACCCAGTGTCTCTCTACCCAGTGTCTCACTACCCAGTGTCTCACTACCCAGTGTCTCACCACCCAGTGTCCTCACTACCCAGGTGTCTCACCACCCAGTGTCTCACCACCCAGTGTCTCACCACCCGTGTCTCACTACCCAGTGTCTCACCACCCAGTGTCTCACTACCCAGTGTCTCACCACCCAGTGTCTCCCACCCAGTGTCTCACTACCCATGTCTCATCACCCAGGTGTCTCATACCCAGTGTCTCCTACCCTTTCCTCACCACCCAGTGTCTCACTAACCCAGTGTCTCACCACCCAGTGTCTCACCACCCAGTGTCTCACTACCCGTAGTCCTCACCACCAGTGTCTCACCAACCCGAGTGTCTCACTACCCAGTGTTCTCACCCACAGGTCTCACCACCCAGTGTCTCACTACCCAGTGTCTCACCCACACCAGTGTCTCACCACCCAGTGTCTCACCACCCAGTGTCTCACCACCCAGTGTCTCACACACAGTGTCTCACCACCCAGTGTCTCACCACCCAGTGTCTCACTACCCATGTCTCACCACCCAGTGTCTCACTACCCAGTGTCTCACCACCCAGTGTCTCACCACCCAGTGTCTCACTACCCAGTGTCTCACCACCCAGTGTCTCACCACCCAGTGTCTCACTACCCAGTGTCTCACCACCAGTGTCTCACCCCCAGTGTCTCACCACCCAGTGTCTCACCACCCAGTGTCTCACTACCCAGTGTCTCACTACCCAGTGTCTCACTACCCAGTGTCTCACCACCCAGTGTCTCACTACCCAGTGTCTCACCACCCAGTGTCTCTCTACCCAGTGTCTCACTACCCAGTGTCTCACCACCAGTGTCTCACTACCCAGTGTCTCACTACCCAGTGTCTCACCACCCAGTGTCTCACCACCCAGTGTCTCACTACCCAGTGTCTCACCACCCAGTGTCTCTCTACCCAGTGTCTCACTACCCAGTGTCTCACCACCCAGTGTCTCACTACCCAGTGTCTCACCACCCCCTACCACTATACCTACCACTACCACCACCCAGTGTCTCACCACCCAGTGTCTCACCACTCAGTGTCTCACTACCCAGTGTCTCACCACCCAGTGTCTCACTACCCAGTGTCTCACCACCCAGTGTCTCACCACCCCCTACCACTCTACCCACCACCACCACCACCCAGTGTCTCACCACCCCCTACCACTCTACCCACCTCCACCACCCCACACAGCTGCCACGCGGGAGTTTGGGAGCCGACCCCGGTGTGCTGTGCCCGGCCGCCCTCCACGGTACAGAACGGCCGCGTGTCCGTGGATCGCGAGCGCCTCCTGGCGCTGCTCACGTGTGACGAGGGCTACGAGCCGGCCAAGGGAGCTCAGGCCGCGTGCAGATCAGGAGCCTTTGACGTGAAAGCGTTCGCCTGCAAGGAGCGTGCGTCATTTCACCTGACACGCATGTGTAGTGTAGTGTGTAGTGTATAGTGTAGTGTATAGTGTATAGTGTAGTAGTGTGGTAGTGTATAGTGTAGTAGTGTATAGTGTAGTGTATAGTGTAGTGTGTAGTGTATAGTGTAGTGTAGTAGTGTAGTGTATAGTGTAGTGTATAGTGTAGTGTGTAGTGTAGTGTGTAGTGTAGTGTGTAGTAGTGTATAGTGTAGTGTATAGTGTAGTGTATAGTAGTGTATAGTAGTGTATAGTAGTGTATAGTGTAGTGTATATTGTAGTGTAGTGTATAGTGTAGTATATAGTGTAGTGTATAGTGTAGTGTATAGTGTAGTGTATAGTGTAGTGTATAGTAGTGTATAGTAGTGTATAGTGTAATGTATATTGTAGTGTAGTGTATAGTAGTGTATAGTAGTGTATAGTGTAGTGTATATTGTAGTGTAGTGTATAGTGTAGTGTATAGTGTAGTGTATAGTGTAGTGTATAGTAGTGTATAGTAGTGTATAGTGTAGTGTATAGTGTATAGTGTAGTGTATAGTGTAGTGTATAGTAGTGTATAGTAGTGTATATAGTAGTGTATAGTGTAGTGTATAGTGTAGTGTATAGTGTAGTGTATAGTAGTGTATAGTGTATATAGTAGTGTATAGTGTAGTGTATAGTGTAGTGTATAGTAGTGTATTGTATAGTGTAGTGTATAGTGTAGTGTATAGTGTAGTGTATAGTAGTGTATAGTAGTGTATAGTGTAGTGTATAGTGTAGTGTATAGTGTAGTGTATAGTGTAGTGTATATAGTAGTGTATAGTGTAGTGTATAGTGTAGTGTATAGTGTAGTGTATAGTAGTGTATAGTGTATATAGTACTGTATAGTGTAGTGTATAGTGTAGTGTATAGTGTAGTGTATAGTAGTATAGTGTAGTGTATAGTGTATAGTAGTGTATAGTGTAGTATAGTAGTGTATAGTGTAGTGTATAGTGTAGTGTAGTGTATAGTAGTGTATAGTAGTGTATAGTAGTGTAGTGTATAGTGTAGTGTATAGTAGTGTATAGTAGTGTAGTGTATAGTGTAGTGTATAGTGTAGTGTATAGTGTAGTGTATAGTGTAGTGTATAGTAGTGTATAGTAGTGTATATAGTAGTGTATAGTGTAGTGTATAGTGTAGTGTATAGTGTAGTGTATAGTAGTGTATAGTGTATATAGTAGTGTATAGTGTAGTGTATAGTGTAGTGTATAGTAGTATAGTGTAGTGTATAGTGTAGTGTATAGTGTAGTGTAGTGTATAGTAGTGTATAGTAGTGTATAGTAGTGTATAGTGTAGTGTATAGTGTAGTGTATAGTTTAGTGTATAGTAGTGTATAGTGTAGTGTATAGTGTATATAGTCGTGTATAGTGTAGTGTATAGTGTAGTGTATAGTGTAGTGTATAGTGTAGTGTATAACCTCACCCTCCCCGTCTCAGGTAAGTGTGACACGGACCCCAAGAGCTACCTGCACGTCAGCAGCATCGGCAAGGGCCGCGAGCCGGGCTCGCTGTCCGTGAGCTGCAAGAAAGGATTTGTGACCATCGCAGGCCCCACTCGGTGAGGCCTCCCTCGCTCGCCGCTCCACCACCACCGCTGCCACTACCACCACCACTACCACCACCGCCACGGCCACTACCGCCACTACCAACACTACCACCGCCACGGCCACTACCACCGCCGCCACTACCACTACCGCCACTACCAACACCACCGCCACTACCACCACCACTAACACTGACACCGCCACCGCCACTAACAACACCACCGCCACTGCCACTACCAACACCACCGCCACTACCACCACCACCACTACCACCGCCACTACCACCACCACTACCAACACCACCGCCACCGCCACTAAGAACACCACCGCCACTACCAACACCACCGCCACTACCAACACCACTGCCACTGCCACTACCAACACCACCGCCACTACCAACACCACCGCCACTACCACCACCACTACCAACACCACCACCACTACCAACACCACCGCCACCGCCACTACCAACACCACCGCCACTAACACTAACAACACCACAACCACCGCCACTAACACTAACAACACCACAACCACCGCCACTACAACCGCAAGCACTACCGCCACCACCACCATGACCACCATCACTACCACCACCACTACCACCACCACCACTACAACCGCAAGCGCTACCGCCACCACCACCATGACCACCACCACTACTACCACCACCACTACCACCACCACCACTACCGCCACCACTGCCGATCACACAATCTACCCCCTGCCTCTGACTACCTCTGTGACCCCCCTCCCCTCTCTTCCACCACTGTCACCACCACCACCATCATCATCACCACCACCATCATTACCACCACCACCACCACTGTCACCACCACCACCGCCACCACTGTCACCACCATAACCACCACCACCATCATCATCATCACCACCACCACCGCTGTCATCACGACCACCACCACCACCATCATCACCACCACTGTCACCACCATCATCACCACCACAACCATCACCACTACCACCACCGCCACCACCACTGTCATCACCACCACCACCACAACCACTACCCCCCCCCCCCACCACCCCCCCACCACCACCACCACCACCCCACCCCCCCACCACCACCCCCCCACCACCACCACCACCCCCCCCACCACCACCACCACCACCCCCACCACCCCCCACCACCCCCCCACCACCACCCCCCCCCACCACCACCACCACCCCCCCCCACCACCACCCCCCCCCCCCCCACCACCACCGCACCGGTGTAGCTGCGAGCGCGGCCGCCTGGTGCCGGAGCCGTCGTGCTGCCCGGACGCGGTGCCGGTGGCCCGCGGCTCGGTGCGAGTGCGCAGCGCTACGGGCTCGGTGAGCGCCGACCTCACCTGCGACGCCGGCCTGGCGCCCCGGAGGGACTCGTCCATCGCCTGCAACCGCGGACTCTGGGACGCCGAGAAGTTGGCGTGCGAACGGGCACCTGGTGGGGCACAACTACGACAACCACGACCATGACAACCACAACCACCACAACCATAACAACCAAAACCACAACAACCACGACAGCCACAACAACCACGACAACCACGACCATGACAACCACAACCACCACAACCATAACAACCAAAACCACAACAACCACGACAGCCACAACAACCACGACAACCACGACCATGACAACCACAACCACCACAACCATAACAACCAAAACCACAACAACCACGACAGCCACAACAACCACGACAACCACGACCATGACAACCACAACCACCACAACCATAACAACCAAAACCACAACAACCACAACCACGACCACAACCACGACAACCACGACCATAACCACAACCACAACTATAACCATGACCACGACAACCACCACAACTATAACCACGACCACAACAACCACGACCACGACAACCATGACAACTACGACCACGATCACGACCACAACCACGACAACCACAACAACCACGACAACCACGACCACGACAACCATGACAACCACTATAACCATGACAACCACAACCACAACAACCATAACAACAACCACAACAACCACGACCACGACAACCACGACCCCAACCACGACAACCACAACCACGACCACAACCACGACAAGCAAAACAACCACAACCATAACCACAACTACAACCACAACAACCATAACCATAACAACCACGACAACCACGACGACCATAACTACGACAACCACGACCACGACAACCACAACAACCACGACAACCACAACCACGACAACCACAACCACGACAATGGCAACAACAGCGACAACCACAATAACACTCACAATGACCAAAACAACAACCACAATAATAACGATAACCACAATAACCACCGCCAAAACAAAAACATCGACCAGAACATCATCAACAACAACAACCACAACCGCCAGGCCAAGTGCACCTTGAGGCTGCCACGTGAAGTGTCGAACGCCCGCTGGCAGGAGGTCACGGGGCAGACCCAGCAGGTGCCACGGGTCGACTGACCGAGATGACCAAGATGACTGGCTGATGCACCACCTGTGCCCCCTACTGTGCCAACTTGCTGTGCTTTAGCCACCCGGCGCTCCGCTCGTTGTTGTGAGCGTCGCTCCTCCGCCCTCCGTTGTTGCTGGAGGGCGACTGCCTCCAACTGCCCAGTAGCCTCAAGGTGCACCTAGCCTGGCACTGACCAGTAGCAGAAGCAGCGTCCTTCACGAGCCTCCTGTGTGGTGTTACTGACAAAAAAAAGAACAGGCCCCTATTCTAATTTTGTTTATACTTTGACACTGCCAACAAAAATGTATCCCATGTAACAATCGATATGATGGTGGTGATGATGGTGATGATGATGACAGTGAATTGAAATGATGTTCATGCCACCCACAGCCGCTAACGAAGTGAAGAGTTGCATGGAGGGAGTTTGCGTGATCCGCCCTAAAGAGGCAAACCTCCGAACGGTGGAAAGTGAGTCACCCACTCAGTCACTCACCCACCCACTCACTCACTCACCCACTCAGTCACTCAGTTACCCACTCACTCACTTACTCACCCACTCACTCACTCACTGATCCACTCAGTCACCCACTCACTCACCCACTCACGCACCCACTCACGCACCCACTCACTCACCCACTCACTCACCCACGCACCCACTCAGTCACCCACTCACTCACTCACCAACTCACTCACACACTCACACACCCACTCACTCACTCACCCACTCACCCACTCACTCACACACTCACGCACCCACTCACTCACCCACTCACTCACTCACCAACTCACTCACACACTCACCCACCCACTCACTCAACCAATCACTCATTCACTCACCCACTCACTCACCCACTCACCCACCCACTAGCTCACTTACCTACTCACAAATGCAATCAACCACCCACCCACTCAGTCACCAACTCACCCACTCACCCACTCACTCACTCACCCACTCAGTCACCCACTCAGTCACCCACTCGCTCACTAACTCACGTATCCACTCAGCCACTCACTCACGCACTCACTCGCTAGCTCACCCACTCGCTCAGCCACTCTCTCACTCACTCATCCACTTAGCCACCGGCTCACCCATTCAATCACCCACTCACTCGCTCGCTCACCCACTCGGTCACTCACTCATCCACTCACCCACCCACTCACTCCCCCACTCACTCACTCACTCGCTCACTCACTCGCTCATCTACTGATCCACCCACTTGCGCACTCACTCAGCCACCCACCCACTCACTGACTCACTCACCTGCTCCCTCACTCATTCACTCATCCACTCAGCCTCCCATTCGCTCACTCACTCACTTACTCACCCACTCTATCATTCCTCCAGTCACCCATTCACTCACTTACTCACCCACGCACTCACTCACCCGTTCACTGGTGGTTGTGGTGGTGGTTGTGGTGATGGTGGTAGAGGTCGTGGTGGTGGTTGTGATGGTGGTGATTTTGTTCGTGGTGGTGCTGTTGGTGGTTGTGATGGTGGTGGTGATGGTGGTGTTGGTGGTGGTGGCGGTCGTGGTGGCGGTCGTGATGGTGGTGCTGTTGGTGGTGGTGGTTGTGATGGTGGTGGTTGTGATGGTGGTGATTTTGTTTGTGGTGGTGGTGTTTGTGGTGGTGGTTGTGGTGGTGGTTGTGATGATGGTGATGTTGTTTGTAGTGCTGGTGTTGTTGGTGGCGGTGGTGATGTTGTTTGTAGTAGTAGTGATGGTGTTGGTGGTGGTTGTGATGGTGGTGATGTTGTTTGTGGTGGTGGTGTTGGTGTTGGTGGTTGTGATGGTAGTGATGTTGTTGTTGTGTTGGTGGTGGTGGTGGTGGTGTTGGAGGTCGTGGTGATGTTGTTTGTAGTGGTGGTGGTGTTGGTGTTAATGGCGGTGGTGATGATCGCGATGAACATAGAACTTCATCCGCACCGCACGTAACCGACCGTTCTAACCGCAGGCGCTTGTCGTGTTGGTTGTGGTGGTGGTGGTGGTTGTGGTTGTGGTGGTTGTGGTGCTCAGCCCAGAAGCTGCTGCACCTGACGTCGCCACGTCCGAGCGTGGCGCGCGTCACGCTGCCCACCACGCGGCACCGCTCCAAGTGCCTCTTCTTCTCATACGTAGGCCGCAAGCCCTGGGCCATCAAGGTGAGAGGTCATTGGGTCAGCAGGGTGAGAGGTCATTGGGTCAGCAAGGTGAGAGGGCATTTGGTCAGCAGGGTGAGATGTCATTGGGTCAGCAGGGTGAGAGGTCATTCGGTCAGCAGGGTGAGAGGTCATTGGGTCAGCAGGGTGAGAGGTCACTGTGTCATCAGGGTGAGAGGTCATTGGGTCAGCAGGGTGAGAGGTCATTTGGGTCAGCAGGGTGAGAGGTCATTGGGTCAGCAGGGTGAGAGGTCACTGGGTCAGCAAGGTGAGAGGTCACTGGGTCAGCAGGGTGAGAGGTCATTGGGTCAGCAGGGTGAGAGGTCAATGGGTCACCAGACCCACACACACAGACCCACACACACAGACCCACACACACAGACCCACACTGACAGATACACACACAGACCCACACACACAGACCCACATACAGACACACACAGACACACTGACAGATACACACACAGACCCACACACAGACCCACACCCACACACAGACCCACACACACAGATCCACATACAGACACACTGACAGATACACACACAGACCCACACCCACCCACACACACAGACACACAGACCCACACACACAAAGTGGGTGCCCACCACCACCACCACCGCCATCATCACCTGGGCTGGGGACCCCTGTGCCCGTTCACAGCCCGTCGGAGGCGGACTGCCCGGCCTGCAGATGGAAAGTCGTGCCTCCATCAGCTACGGGTCGGCCGTCATTCCCATCGTTGGAGACATCACTGAGGTCAGGTTCGACGTCTTAACGCGCCAACAACAATGTTTAACACGTGGGCTGTACTAGCATACTACACTATACACTACTACACTATACACTACACTATACACTACTACACTATACACTACACTATACACTACTACACTATACACTACACTATACACTCTACACGACACTATACACTACTACACTATACACTACACTATACACTACACTATACACTACACTATACACTACACTATACACTACGCTACACACTACACTATACACTACACTACACTATACACTACACTATACACCACACACATGCTCTGGTAGTAGATGATGATGATGATGCATTGTTTTTGAAACTGATTGGCACACACCAGAGGGGCAGCTTTCTTTAGAGCCTCGTCTCAAACAGCTTCAGACCAGAGGGCAACGCCTCATGGCAGAGGTCGCAACCGGGTATCCGATACCCGTACCCTACCCGATACCCGGCTACCCGTACCCAGCCGGGTACGGGTAGCCGGGTACCCGTTTGCGACCCTGGTTCGGCCGGGTACGGGTAGCCGGGTAGGCCGTGAGTCACTGGTGAGTCACCGTGTGTCACTCATTTCCCAACGTCTTGTCTCTTCTCACAATTCAAGTTCCTAGAATCAACCCACCCGCGCCTGCAACATGGCTTCATCCCAGAGGTCGCAATCAGGTACCCGATACCCGTACCCTACCTGATACCCGGCCGGGTACGGGTAGGGTACGGGTATGGCCGGGTGCGGGTACCCTCAGGACACGGAAGTTCTATAATGTTGGTCTACCACTAAGGGGCCGTCCATAAATGACGTCACGTTCTATTTAATTAAATAGACATCAGAGTGCAACGCCACATTAAATACGCACTACAATGACAATAGTTTAAAGCGAATTGAAGCATTTTTTATACTACTATCCCCGCCCCCCCCCACACTCACCCCCCCCCCCCCCCACGTACCCCCCCCCACGAACCCCCCAGGTGGAGCTGGAGTTGACCTTCTCTGACCTGGCGCTGGAGGATGCCCACGTGGACGTTTGTGACCTCGCTGAGCTCGGACTCACGCCGGCTCAGAGCAGGGGCTGACAACCCTCACCCACCCACTCACCCATCCACTCACCCATCCAATCACTCACCCACTCATTCACCCACTTACTCACTCACCCACCCACTCACTCATCCACTCACCCACTCACTCACTCACCCACTCGCTCAATCACTTAATCACTCACTCAATCACCCACTCATTCACCCACCCACTCACCCACGCACTCACCCACTCACCCACTTACTTACTCACCCACCCACTCACTCACCCACTCGCTCACTCACCCACTCACTCACCAACTCACTCACTTATCCACTCACTCACCCACTCATTCACCCACTCACCCACCCACCCACTCACTCACTCACCCACTCACTCACGCACTCACTCACCTACTCACTCACTCACTGACTTACTCACTCCCCACTCACACACTCACTCAACCACTCATTCACTAACCCACGCACTCACCAACTCACCCAACCACTCACCCACCCACCCACTCACCTACCCACCCACCCACTCACCCACCCACTCACCCACTCACTCACCCACTCACCCACTCACCCAGCAATGTCCCAAGGGAGTGACTCTCACGGCCGGACGTAGCAGCGATCAGCAACGATTCCGGCCGGGGCGATGATTCCACAATAAAGTCTTGCTGTGTGCGGGTTAGACCGACTGAGTTGTGAATGTTGTGTCGTCAACACCCTCCACCACCAGCCCGTTTGGTGTGGCGGGCCGGGGAGCAGACACACCAGGATGTTGATGTAATAAAGGTCATTGAGGCGACTTCTGGAATCCGGTCTATTATTCACTTTTCATTACAGCTCGCGTGGCCTCCTCCTCCGTTCGTTCCAGTTCTGACCACGTGTCGTTCGTCTCCACCCATATTTAATACCCGGGTCACGTGGTACGTTTCCACCAATCCTGGTTAGCCTCTATGGAATATTCCAGACTCCACCGTAGGCTCCCGGGACCACGCCCCTGACTCGTCTCCCCATTGGCTGTGGCCAAAGCCAGCAGAACCAATCCTTACAGTTGTCACTTTGCCATCACGTCAGGGCCACGCCCCTAGGCTTCCTCCCATTGGCTATAGACCTGGACCGGCAGAGCCAATCATCGTGACGAGTTGTGATCTGTCAGTGAGCCGGATATATCCTCACATTACATTTGCATTCAGTGCTGGTGTCATTACATCCGCAGCGACAGTGAATGTCGCTGTGTGGTGCCGGGCTTACTGGGCGTAGTACCAGCAGCCCTAGCCGGGCTGGGTGATCGCTGGTGCAGGCTCGCGGCGAGGGAGCGGGAGAAAGCGTCAGCCAGCCAGGGTCACGTTGGGGCAAGATACGCCGGTTGACCTGCCGACATGTGACCGTAACAATATTGGGGGGGGGGGGGGTGCTGGGTGGTCACGTGGTGTAAAAGAGCCCCCGGGAGCCTTCGGGAAAGAGGCGGAGAGTTCTAGAAAGTGGGCGGGGCGAGGGGCGGAGCCGGAGAGTTCTAGAAGGTGGGCGGGGCGAGCGGCGGAGCCGGAGAATTCTAGAAGGTGGGCGGGGCGAGGGGCAGAGCCGGAGAGATCTAGAAGGTAGGCTGGGCGAGGGGCGCAGCCGGAGAGTTCTAGAAGGTGGGCAGGGCGAGGGGCGGAGAGATCTAGAAGGTGGGCGGGGCGAGGGGCGGAGCCGGAGAGATCTAGAAGGTGGGCGGGGCGAGGGGCGGAGAGATCTAGAAGGTGGGCGGGGCGAGGGGCGGAGAGATCTAGAAGGTGGGCGGGGCGAGGGGCGGAGAGATCTAGAAGGTGGGCGGGGTGAGGGGCGGAGCCGGAGAGATCTAGAAGGTGGGCGGGGCGAGGGGTGGAGAGATTTAGAAGGTGGGCGGGGCGAGGGGTGGAGAGATCTAGAAGGTAGGCTGGGCGAGGGGCGGAGCTGGAGAGATCTAGAAGGTGGGCGGGGCGAGGGGCGGAGAGATCTAGAAGGTGGGCGGGGCGAGGGGCGGAGCCGGAGAGATCTAGAAGGTGGGTGGGGCGAGGGGCGGAGCTGGAGAGATCTAGAAGGTGGGCGGGGCGAGGGGCGGAGAGATCTAGAAGGTGGGCGGGGCGAGGGGCGAAGCCGGAGAGATCTAGAAGGTGGGCGGGGCGAGGGGCGGAGCTGGAGAGATCTAGAAGGTGGGCGGGGCGAGATGGGCGTTCGACAGCCGAGTGTAGGTCACGTGATGTTGTGTGTTGAGTTGGTGAAATAAATAGTGTTGCTCCCAAGACAACGTCTGTGACTGAGTTGGACTCACTAAACTTCATCAACAATAACCACAACAACAACAACCACAACAACTAAAACATCAACCACAACTGCAAACCACAACTACCACATCAGCCACAACAGCAACCATAACAACAACCACAACTACAATAACCATACCAACTTAAACCACAACAACCATAACAACAACCACAGCAACACACACATATTGACACACTCGAGTAGCGTGTGACGTTTAGCGCTGGTGTGATTACAACAGCAACTACAACCACCAAAACAACAACTACAACAGCAATTACAACAACCACAGCAACAACCACAACAACAACCACACAGTGTAGTGTATAGTGTAGTGTAGTGTCGATTGGTGGCGGGTTTTGACGACACAGTCAAATTCATGAGCTCCTGCACAAAATAAAACCGCGATTATGGAGGATGTCGCTCACGCGGATGCCTTCACTGCCATTTGGAGACCTCCACGTTCCTGATAAGAACAACTTAAAACGTCATCTTCAGTAGGCAATTCACGTTGAAAGAATCATTACAACTTTAATTCGTTTTAAAGCTTACAGAAAAAAATTCGCGCGAAAGTATGTTTTTGCAATTAAATAAAAAATCTAATAAACACAATTTCACATCGCTGAACATGTGATGTGTTGTTTATTAACTTCAGCTACATACTATTAACATTCCTTCCCTTTGTTATTGCTACCCCCATCCCCTCCCTTTGATGCTGCTAGTCCTGCATAATGCACGGGCACAAGTAGTACTAATCACATACCTGCATTTCCCATATCCCCTCCCTTTGATGCTGCTAATCCTGCATAATGCACGGACATAATATGACTTTGAAACCCCCCGCCCACCTCCTACGCATTTACCATAAATATGCTAAATTCCTCTTGATATGCAAATTCTTTTGTCAAGGCGCTCTTCCCCCTCCAACCCAGATTAAATATACGCTCCAAGCTTGGTGGTGTTTCATTCTTCACCTGAGGACGGCTGCTTGCGTTGTGGCCGAAACGTCGTGAGAATTATTTTATTATGTTTTATTTTTATTATTTTATCACTTCCCTTCTACGTGACTTTACCGAAATAACCAAGAATACACTTAAAACAGTACGGGGTAAAAAAAAACATTTAAAACACAGCACCCAAAGGCGTCATATCACGAGAGAATTGTGCAAAAAATACGATATTTTAAATAATGATTAGTGCCAGTCAACACACTTTTTCTGGCATAATGTATTCTAACGGTCTTAAGGTAATTTTTGGGGTGCTGATTCCAAATCTGGCATCAGTTTTTGTCTATCAAATATTGCATTTTCAATAAAAACTGCAGAAGAAAAATATTAAATAAATATGGATGTCTACGTAAAATGATGATATTATAAACACACTATCTTAAAAATACAGCACCATATTTTAACACTAAAGCAGTCACTGACTCGCAACAACTTGCAATCATAAGTGACAGAGTTAATTTCGGGTAAAATCAATGAAAATGGGGTATGCCGATAGCATAAAATGAGATGTGATAGAGCAAATCTGAGATCAGATTTGGAATCAGCACCCTGAAATTAGTCTAGAACAGCTGCAAAAGTCCAGGCCAGAAAAACATGTGTTTTTTTGTTGACCAGTGTAATCGCCGATAAACCGGAATGGTAATCGATTATCTGCTGGAATATTGATCTCCGTCTCGTCTCCATCTGTCTCTGTTTTGAAATTTAGACCCAGGCTAACTAAATGTTCATTCCAGGCTAAGCGAAGTTGAGACACAGGTTTTGTGCATTTTTTGTTGCAGGTTTAGTGCATTTTTTGTTGCAGGTTTAGTGCATTTTTGTTGTAGGTTTAGTGATTTTTTTTTTGCAGGTTTGGTGAATTTTTGTTGCAGGTTTAATGAATTTTTAATTGTAGGTTTAGTGATTTTTTTGTTCAAGGTTTAGTGAATTAATAGTTGCAGGTTTAGTGAATTTTTTGTTGCAGGTTTAGTTAATTTTTGTTGCAGGTTTAGTGATTTTTTTGTTGCAGGTTTAGTGCATTTTTTGTTGCAGGTTTAGTACATTTTTTGTTGCAGGTTTAGTGCATTTTTGTTGCAGGTTTAGTGATTTTTTGTTGCAGGTGTAGTACATTTTTTGTTGCAGGTTTAGTACATTTTTTGTTGCAGGTTTAGTGCATTTTTGTTGCAGGTTTAGTACATTTTTTGTTGCAGGTTTAGTGCATTTTTGTTGCAGGTTTAGTGAATTTTTTGTTGCAGGTTTAGTGCATTTTTTGTTGCAGGTTTAGTGCATTTTTGTTGCAGGTTTAGTGCATTTTTTGTTGCAGGTTTAGTGCATTTTTGTTGCAGGTTTAGTGAATTTTTTGTTGCAGGTTTAGTGCATTTTTTGTTGCAGGTTTAGTGCATTTTTTGTTGCAGGTTTAGTACATTTTTGTTGCAGGTTTAGTGCATTTTTGTTGCAGGTTTAGTGCATTTTTTGTTGCAGGTTTAGTACATTTTTTGTTGCAGGTTTAGTACATTTTTTGTTGCAGATTTAGTGCATTTTTTGTTGCAGGTTTAGTACATTTTTTGTTGCAGGTTTAGTGCATTTTTGTTGCAGGTTTAGTGAATTTTTGTTGCAGGTTTAGTGCATTTTTTGTTGCAGGTTTAGTGCATTTTTGTTGCAGGTTTAGTGCATTTTTTGTTGCAGGTTTAGTGCATTTTTGTTGCAGGTTTAGTGCATTTTTTGTTGCAGGTTTAGTGCATTTTTTGTTGCAGGTTTAGTACATGTTTTGTTGCAGGTTAAGTACATTTTTTGTTGCAGGTTTAGTGCATTTTTTGTTGCAGGTTTAGTGCATTTTTTGTTGCAGGTTAAGTGCATTTTTGTTGCAGGTTTAGTGCATTTTTTGTTGCAGGTTTAGTGCATTTTTGTTGCAGGTTTAGTGAATTTTTTGTTGCAGGTTTAGTGCATTTTTTGTTGCAGGTTTAGTACATTTTTTGTTGCAGGTTAAGTGCATTTTTTGTTGCAGGTTTAGTGAATTTTTTGTTGCAGGTTTAGTGCATTTTTGTTGCAGGTTTAGTGAATTTTTTGTTGCAGGTTTAGTGCATTTTTGTTGCAGGTTTAGTGCATTTTTTGTTGCAGGTTTAGTACATTTTTTGTTGCAGGTTAAGTGCATTTTTGTTGCAGGTTTAGTGCATTTTTGTTGCAGGTTTAGTGCATTTTTTGTTGCAGGTTTAGTACATTTTTTGTTGCAGGTTTAGTGCATTTTTTGTTGCAGGTTTAGTGCATTTTTGTTGCAGGTTTAGTGCATTTTTTGTTGCAGGTTTAGTACATTTTTTGTTGCAGGTTTAGTGCATTTTTGTTGCAGGTTTAGTACATTTTTTGTTGCAGGTTAAGTGCATTTTTTGTTGCAGGTTTAGTGCATTTTTGTTGCAGGTTTAGTGCATTTTTGTTGCAGGTTTAGTGCATTTTTTGTTGCAGGTTTAGTGCATTTTTTGTTGCAGGTTTAGTGCATTTTTTGTTGCAGGTTTAGTGCATTTTTGTTGCAGGTTTAGTGCATTTTTGTTGC